ATCAGAATGGAAGGAAAGGGTGCATGAACTATGGACTTTAAGGAACTTTACTGTCTCTGGCCTTATGGTAAAATTCAGTGGATTGATGCATATAAACAGGTGTTGTACATTTTGGCCTGAGTCACAATTTTAAAGTTATATAGACATCTCAGAATAAGTTTACAACCATCTCTAACAAACATTAGAGAAAAATTTAAGTATTTGGTTGGCTTTCAGCAGAGCTTTCCTTCTCCCTTCCCCCTGCCACACCCCACAGTGTTATGTCTGTGTCTGTCTGTCTGTCTGTCTGTCTGTCTGTCTGTCTGTCTGTCTGTCTGTCTGTCTGTCTGTCTGTCTGTCTGTCTGTCTGTCTGTCTGTCTGTCTGTCTGTCTGTCTGTCTGTCTGTCTGTCTCCCCCTCCCTCCCTCTCTTCAACCCTCTTCATGTGTGCCTATCCTTCTGTATGTATGTCTGCGTGTTGGAAGGAGGTGTTGCTTGCACCCATTTTACAGGCAACTGACGGAAAACTTGTCCATGCTAGGTTGATTCTTTGTCACTGAACTACATCCTGGCTCCAATGTTTTGCATGCAACAGTCATATTCAGCACTTTTCATAAACTAGCAGCACCCCTCTCCCATATAACAGATATTAAGGAATCAAAGCACAGGAAGGTTTAGTTATTTAGTCACACCACAAAGAAATAGTTTGTTGGCCATGAAGCAGATTCTCTAATTGGGTGCAATGCCTTCTATCACTAAATTGAATTGCTATAGAAGAATCAAACTTGTTTGTGAAACTACAGTTAAAAGATTGAGGATCTGGAAGTTTAATAGAAACAGCAGGGCTGAGGTGGCCCCACCTTTGCTCTATGGCACAGATGCTGGTATTTACAGAGAGAAAAGATCTTTCCTCCTCTGACTGCTTCTTTTGGACTAAAATCCACTGAAGGGGAGTGTGTAGTCTGTCAACTCCCATTTAACGGCATTTAAACTTGCCTGTGAGAACTGTCAATGTTCCCACAGAGTGGTTGTCTTAAAAATGACCTCAAGAGAAGTAAATAGGAATGCCATTTAACTCTCTGATCTCTTCAGGACTTGATGTAAGGCTAGATTTACGTTATTTCAGAACAGTCCTAGAGCCCATGAAATTTGGAATCATAAGACCTTTAATGGCCCTGGGGGTTTTGGTAAATAACCTAGCTTTATTAAATATTGTATTTAATAAATGAAAATAATGCTACTATCATTCCCTTCCCAGTTTTTGCAGAGATGAAGTGAATATGTAACGGAATAATTATCAACTGCCTGTGTAGTTATTGATTGTTTGTTTTATTTGTACAATGTAAATATGTTTAATAGGTATGGTTATAGTATGTTTACTAAATATGGCTAATAAATTTTAAAGAAAGGAACTAGAGTCATTACTCAATGATTAAGAGCACTGGCTGATTGATCTTCCAGAGGAACCAGGTTCAATTCTGAGTACCCACATGTAGGCTTACAATCCTTTGTAACCTTAATCATAGTGACACCTTTTTCTGGCCTTGTAGGCAGTGCTCATAAGTGGTGCATAGACACATGTGCAGGCAACCCACACGTTTTTAAAATGTAAAAAGAAAACAAAAATGATACATAATAATTGACTGGCATTTGTTCATAAAAAGATTTATTGTGACTGATTCACTTAATTAGTGGATGATGTTTACATATTTGAAATCAGATTATTCATACAACTAGAGGCCACGCACAGGAGGAAAGCCTGTGAGCATGATTCAAGCTGTGCTTAACATGACTTGTGTAAAATTAACAATATAATGCATATTGTTTCTTTGACAACAAGTTAGAGGAAGTAAGGCCTAAAGTTATGGTCTACATAGCTATGGGTATTTGCAGAAGACTAGCTGTGCTAATTTGCATAGCTAGTCTCAACCCAGAACCAAGTCAGTGTACCCTGCATTTGGGGAACTTATATTTCTTCATTCCATATCATAGCTGAAATGTTATTTTTAAAATCTAAAGGTAAGGAACTAAGCAGTAGAGGCTTTTGCTAAAAACAAGCGTTTTGATTCTTGTTCAGTTAAAACTAACTTGAATTACTAATAGAAATGAGTTTCCAGTATAGTCAAGAAAAATTCAAAAGTATTCCCTGGATTAGGAAAAAATCAGTCTGCCAGAGTTGCATCCTTCCCTTGTGTTGTAGAGTTGATCTTAATGGTAATAATAGTCATCACAGTCATGTTCTAACTCTCTGAGGTAGCAGCAAACATAGTGCCACCCATAACTGAAATTATAATTCATTTTGTAAATGGTAGTTATTTAATTGATTTATTTGTATCACATTTATTTATTCAGTGTGTGTGTGTGTGTGTGTGTGTGTGTGTGTGTGTGTGTGTGTACACATGTGCACATGGACTTGAGTGCTTGGGCAACATAGTACTCTGCTCATGTCATTGATAGGGGCAACTGTCTGGAGTCATTTTTTCCTTTACACCTTTGGTTACCAAGGATACAATTTAGATCACCAGTCTTAAGAATAAGCACCTTTACCGACTGAGTCATCTTGCCTGCTGGTCTGATTCATTTTAGTGTTGCAAAATTGCTGAAGAGGGAATTGTAACGCTACTTCTTACCATAAACAAATTCTTCTATGTGTTTACTTAATTCTTTGGGAATTATTTGAAACTACTTTAAAATATGGGAATTTGCAAGTCTGGGAAACACTCAGGCCAGAGAAAGTGTGACTGTAGAAAGCAAAGAAATTCATGCCACATCTCTGTGGAAATATGGTAAGGGGCACATGCATACATTGTGCCTGTTTTAAATATGAATAAAAGTTACATATGTAGAATCTAAAACAGTTGATCTGGAAGTTGGTGAGAGCCTAATAGCAGTAACTAAAGCCAGATAAGGAGAAGGTTAAGATACGAGAGCTCATACAATGCCACAGAAACAAATCCTGCAGGCCTGCCCCAGGAGAGTGATCGCCAATAGTAATGAGGTACCTAAACAGTAAGAAGATATAGTCAGTGTACTACAAACAAATGTAAAAGTTGAAGATAATGAATAACACAGTACCTTTGTATTGATTACTGTAAATTCATGTATGAATCAAAGCATTACTGTGTATCTCATGTACACAAACCAATGCTACCTGTCAGCTGTAAGTCCAAAGAAGTGACAGAAAAGTGAACAAAGTGTCTGATAGCATGAGTGTGGCTGCATTCTCTAGGTGTGTTTATAGAATTCCTTATGCTTTAGCACAGATCTGGAAAATGGCTTCTGTTATGATGGAAGTTCCTCTTCCTTTGCTCCACTCTCAGTGAAGCAGTGTCATCCATCACCACACAGAGAATGTGGAGTCAGAAAGCAACTGCCCGGCACTCATGCTTCCTGAAAGGGCTCCTTCATGGTCTAATTAAAATGTTTACTTTCAAGGTTTCATCTGTAGATTTTTTTGTGTCTATTTTAATGACAAATTGTAAATGAATCATGGTGAAAGCGAGAAAAAATTAATTACAGGGTCTGAAAAGTGGCTGTGCTTTATGTTTATAATTATGAGGATGTGCATATGAGGAAATGACTGGAAATCTAAAGAGAAATATGATAAAAAGAAAAGATCATATCAGCTCTCTTTCTTCTAATAGAAAGGAATCATTTATCATTTTGATATTAAAATCTTATTAAATGTAATAATAACTACAGATTTAATTTTGCAATGACTTACATAGAAATTACAATTTACCACTTGAAACCATGAAAACCACAATATTCCAATGAAATCTTTATTTGGACTGTGAGATAAAATATTGGATACCGTTTGAAGTTTAAATATTACAATGTTTTTTCAAGATATCTTGGGTCTTGTAAATAGTGATCTATAGGAGTTTCAGCTCTCCAATAATGTCATAATTATGTGAACATTCCAATGGCATCACCACTAACCATTTACTTTGAATTTAACTTTAAAATATTGTGTGTGCAGGTTTATTTCTGTGTTTACTCATGATTGTGTCTTTTTAGATTGATACTAAAATTAGCAAGTGTTTCCTGAACTGGCTCTTCTCTTAGGCAGATAAAGACCTTGGAGATCAAAAGCCAGTGTAAGGTTAACATTTGTCATGGATATTGCACAAAGTACATAAGCCCCAGTGTGAATAAACTCAGTGTGAATAATTGTAAACATGGTAGGGATGTAAAACAAGAACCATTGATAGTTCAAGGCTAAGGCCCCCACAGTAAATGCCTCTCACTAAGCACCTGCTGAGAACTCACAGAGAAGGGGCATTTGTAGGTAGTCAGTATTTTACCATCTTATCTACAAATAAGTAGGCTGCATCTTCTTGATATGACCTGAGAATTATAAAGGCTTTGGCAAACTGAGAAATTTGAAGGCTGTATCATGGAGTTATTTAGCTCCCTTTCAACTTGTTTCAAGAAAACAAACAAACAAACAAACAAAAGAGGAGTAGAAATATTCACTGCCATTTAGAATATGGTCTTTTTCTTTTTTTAGATGCTGGGATTGCATTTTAGGAAAACTCAAGACTGAGGATGTAGTTCTGTGCTAGAGTGCTTCCTTAGCTTGTGTGTGAGTGAGGTCTTGGGTTTGGTCCCCGTCACTGCCAACAGCAGCCAGAACAACAAAGCCCACAAAAAAATAATAAATAAGTGTTAAGGTTATAGGAGATTATAATAGAAATACGGAAGATTTGGTTTTCCTTATTACTTTGATGAACTTTTTTAGCCTAATATTTGCTTTGAGGTAATAGCCACTCTGCACTATTGAAAGTATACACATCCTGGATTGCTGATAAGCAATTCTACTGGATGTTGACAAAATTATAAGAGCAGTTTTACTCTATCCAGAAATAAAAAAGTATTGTTAATCAGACATTAAGACACTTTGTACGTTCCCTGTTTTAAAGTCCCCACAAAACATGACTGCAATTGAATCATAGCTGTTTTGCTTATAATTTTATTTGGCAATCTTTCTTAGCAAATTACGTGTTTTCTCATTATAGGTTTCATATACACTGGAGAAGTTGTACATCGAATGCTAACAGCCACACAGTATATAGCACCTTTAATGGCAAATTTTGATCCCAGTGTATCCAGAAATTCAACCGTCAGATACTTTGATAATGGTATGTATTGATTACTTGATTTGTATTGATGTATATATATATATATATATATATATATATATATATATATGTGTGTGTGTGTGTGTGTGTGTGTGTGTGTGTGTGTGTGTGCTTCAGATTTTTCTGAGACCTTATTTTTTGGTATATTCTAATACACCTGGTTTGTAAGTACACCACATTTGCTTTGTGCTGCCTGGCAGTGAGTGATACATGTTAAATCGTTGAAAGTGATGTAAGTAGATGCCAGACTGCTCTTCACTCTCTCACTGCTCAACTCACTCATTGTTTACTCAGAAAATGTTTATTTACATGTGGTACACAGTAGAATACATGAGTGTCTATAGACAGAAGCTCCCACAAAACAAACACATATATTTGATGCCATTTGCAATAAATCCTTTTTATTAGAAATATCTATATATGTACAAATTTAATACTGGTGAACTTTAAGTAAAGGCAAGTGTCATACTCTTTTGAAATTCAGTTTCTACAATGCAATTTTCGCAACTTGTACATCAATATGCTGAACACACCATAACTATGTCAGAGGCATTTGAATTCTGTTAAGAAGATAAAATATTCAAGACATTAAGATATGAAATGGGTCATGTTAAGGTGTACCAGATATACTGATAGCAATCTAAACCCTGTATTTCTTTTGAGAACATATAAAATGTGTCAGTCACTGTTCTACTATTGTGAAGAGACACCATGACCACAGCAACTCTTATAAGAGAAAGCATTCAATTGGGATTTGTTTACAATTTCAGAGGCTTAGTCTATTATCATCATGGCAGGGAGCATGGTGGCAGGCATGGCAGGAACAGTGCTAGAGGAGTAATTGAGAGTTTCATGCTGATCCCTGGGCAGTGAGAGAGAACTGGAGTTGCCATGGGTTTTGAAATTTCGAAGTCCATCCCTGGTAGCACAGTTCCTTTAACAAAGTCACATCTGCTAATCCTTCTAAATCTTCCAAATAGTGCCACTCCATGGTGATTAAGCTTTCAAGTATATGATAGCTTAAGGAGGCCATTCTTATTCAAACCACTACAGTTCACTCTCTGGCTCCCATAGGTTTTTAGTCATATCATGTTGCAAAAATTCATTCAGTCCAACTTCAGAAGTTCCCACAATCTTTTCATAATCTCAAGGCTGCTTAAAAGTTCAAGGTCTAAAGTCTCTCCCGAGACTCAATGTAATCCCCTGTAAACTCAAGATCAAAAAGTAGATCACATAATCCCAGAGTACAATGGCACAGAATATGCATTACCATTCCAAAAGGATAAGGGGGAGAGCATAGTGAGGAAACACTGCACTAAAACAAGTCCCAAACCCAGGAGGGCAAACGCCAGATTCTGCATCCCCATTTCTGATGCCTAGGGATCTTCAGATCTCCAACTCCTTCCAGCTCTGTTGCCTACCTCTTTCCTCTCTCTCTCTCCCTCCCTCCCTCTCCCTCTCCCTCCCTCTCCCTCTTCCTCCCTCCCTCTCTCTCTCTCTCTCTGTCTGTCTCTTCTCTCTGTGTGTCTCTCTGTGTGTCTGTCTCTCCCCCCCTCTGTGTGAGTGTGTGTCTGTCTCTCTGTGTGTCTGTCTCCTCTCTGTGTGTCTGTCTCCCCCCTCTCTGTGTGTTTGTGTGTATGTGTGTGTGTCTATGTGTCTCTCCTCTCTCTGTGTCTCTGTCTCTGTCTCTGTCTCTGTCTCTGTCTCTGTCTCTGTCTCTGTCTCTCTCTCTCTCATTGGTTTCATACTGAGTCTGACGCTTTCCTTAGCAGGTACCCCATGATTCTGCTATCTTTGGAGTCACTAACACCATCCAGGCTTCACCTACACAGCTTCACAGCTTCACAGAATGACATCTCCAGACTTCCATGCAGGGATAACTTTGACACATGGCTTGGTGTCAGGGGCTTTTCTCTTTTCTTAACCACATTCTTGTATACTTGACTTAAAAAACAGAACCACACAGCCAAAAATGCTAAGTTCTGCTTCTTGGCGGGGATGGAACTAACCATCTTGTTCAATTACATTAGCATCAGCTTTCTGTTGTTGATTTCCTTCACTGCTTAAGACTTTCTTCAATTCCTTTTCACAAGTTGGAAGTTTAGCTAGGTAAGGTCTTAGCCTGAGGTTACCACTCCCTTTATTGCATTTAACCTCAGGCTTTCTTTTAAACTGTTTGTCTCCCTGAGCACTACAAATATCTCCATTACACTTCCTCGTGCTCCTTTTCTCCTCAAACTGTACATTGTGTGTTTTTCTTAGTTCAACTCATTCCCTTTTCTTATAGATCTACATAAGAGAGATTGCTAATAACCACATGACACAATTCTAGGCTGCCTAGAAATCTCTCTACCATTAATCCAAAACTCTTCAATTTAGCCTCAGGCAATTTCTTTTGGATAAAGACAAAAAGTAGTCACATTCTTTGCCAGAATGTCATCAGAGCAGCTAGCTGGTCTCTAGACCACTTTCTAATAGTTTTCTCCTCTTGGTATGGGACCCCACAGTACAAATCATGTTCAGTACTGTCTTCCATGCTCCCAAAAAGATGTTTCATGAAGCCACACTTGTAAGTGTCCCATGACTCTCCTAGTTCAGAGTCACACATTCTTCCATATGCCTCCAACAATGTAGTCAGGTCTAGCACAGCAATGCTGTGCTCCCTGGTACCAACTTCTGCCTTAGTCACTGTTCTATTGTGAAAAGACACCATGACCACAGCAATTCTTAAAAGATGAAGCATCTAATTGGGCATGTTGTGCCAAGACTCTGAACCCCCCAAACCACCAAAAGACCACATCTGATGCAAAAGCAAAGTGTCTTTATAATTTACAAGTTAACTCAAGTTAACTTGGGTCCTAAGTCCATCCAACACACAGCGGGTGGAGTAGGAGGGACCCTGAACAACAGTGGGGAAGGGCATATACTGCAAGCAAGGGAGTGAGCAAGGGAGTGTCTGGGGGGCCACTAGTTGCACAGCAACAGTCTCAGAATTGGTACACCTCTAGGCTTGGGCAACCTGTCCTGAGTTGATTGGTTAGCTGTAGCTGCAGAAAGGTTGCTGTACCTAGAGGCCCTACCAGGGCAGTTGCTAAGCCTTGCATTTCACTATTATCAGTAAAGCACATCCAGATCCCACCAGCTAACTTCTGATTCATTGCCACACATGAAGGATATCTGGCTTCCTTATGATTAGGACAAGGCTGAAGGCTCAACACATGTTGCTGAGTCAGTAGCCTATGTCTTGCTGGGTCTTTTCTGCAGTCTGCCATTGCTGCCAAAGCAGAGAGGTGGGTGAAGGCCTGGGACCTTCAAGGTACTTGCTTACAGTTTCAGTGTCTTAGTCCATTATCATTATAGGTGGGAACATGATGGCAGGCATGATGGTAGAGAAGTAGTTGAGAGCTACATCCTAATCTGCAGGCAGAGAGAAAGACATTGGAGTTCATACAGGCTTTTGAAACCTCAAACTCATCCCCAAGTGACATAGTTCCTTCAATAAGGCCACACCTCTAATCCTTCTAATCCCTTTAAATAGTAGCATTCCTTGGTGAATAAGCATTCAAATACACGAGCCATTGGGGCTCATTCTTATTCAAACCTATAATCTATCCTATAATGTATGATTAAATATTAAAAGTCAAATAAGAGAATTTAGGTTAGAACCATAAATGAATACTTGCAGCTTATTAAAAAATGTAACTTAAGTAAGAACATGAAATTATAAGCAAAGAATAGTTTATATCAGAAGAAATATATTTAAAAGAGAATTTTGTAGGCTATTTAAAATACAAAATAACATTTGTTTGCTCAAATGACAAGTTTTTCCCTTTTGCAAAATGGATATTTTTTCTCATGTACTATATACTTAGAGTTTCCTATCCCTCTATCCTCCTCATTGCTCCCCACCTCCCATCTTATCCAGACCTACCCCCTTTCTTTCTCTAATTAGAAAACAAACAGGATCCTTATGCATAACAATATATGATATAATATAAAGATAATACTAAATTAACACATAAAATATTACAAAGCAAATAAGAAAATGACAAAAAATACAGAAGAAACAGATATAGACACAAAGATCCACTTGTTTGCATACTCAGGATACCCTTAACAACCAAAACCTGGAAGCCATAATATGTGTGTTATAGAGTTTTAACATATATATGTATATATATACATATATATATATATATATATATGGCATTTTACATATAGATAAATAGACAGATGATAGAATTACAAAAGGAAAAGCTCTGATACAACAGAGTTTGTTTATTGTTGGCCACTTATGTTGGGCATGAAGCCTATCCTTAATAGTAGTTTGTTTTCCCAGCAAGACTAAAATTGGAAACAAAAAAACTAAAATTTCATTTGCAAACAGTTATCAATTGGAGAGATACTCTGGTTAGGTATGGGAGGGTGTCCACATCTTTCAGCTCTAGGGCCCCTACTGGTATAGACCCATGCAGGCCGTGCATCCTGTGAATATCAATGGTCCAGGAGCATAGGATGTTTTTGTTTTGTTTTCCTTCCTTCTCTTTATTTATTATTTGTGTCTTTTACATCATGTATCTCCATCCCATTTATTTACCAGTCCCTTCATATCCATTCTCTGCCCCTGCAACCCTCCCCAAATAAAATAAAATATAAGAGGAAAAAGAAAAAAAGAAGGGTAAATATCAATCTTAGAAGCTGTAGTTTGACACAGCAAGCCATTCAGTAAACCCTTTTATCAATATATATTTACTTGCAAGTGTTCATTGCAGAGTCATAGATCAGGTTCAAGGCCTGTGGTTCCTGCTACACTATCAATACTGGGTTGTCACTGAAACTACTCTTGGTTATCCTACCATTGCCCTGTGTTGTGGAAATCCTGCAGCTTTGAGGTAGATAATGGGGTGGGCTAATACATAACCTTGGTTCATGGCCAGGGTAGTTGCAGGGTTGGTCAGCCCTTTTCCTCACCATCGGAGTGAGCTCTCCTGAATTGCCCA